TTGAAGCAACTGCCATGTGATTGGTTGATTAGATAATTGCATTAATGAGAAATTGAACAGGTGTTCCTAATAATCCTTTAGGTGAGTGTATAGCTTTGCGGGATTAAGAAAGACCTTCTGCCACACACTGCGAGACAGTGCAGCCTAATTACCGCCTGTCCCGCGAAAAGCCAGCACTGCTAATATGAGGAGAACATCTCAGACACTTGGAGCTGTGCTTCTGAGTCCAGCTTGGGTTAGCAAGAGGGTACTGTACATACTTCAGTTGATTTGCTTTGAAAGTTTCTGCCTTGAGAGGAGAATTTGGCTACATCTGCCATGCTGATGGGGGGGGCAGGATTTACTGTATAAGGATCATGTGACATGGAACAGGAAGGAGGGAAACGCAATAAACCGAAACGGTGCCGGTTGTTGGAAAGGGTTACAACGGGGTGCAGGATTAGGGATCAGCGTCTCGGGGGGGCATCCCTATAAGGCTGGACCTCCCCTTATTCTAGATATTTCAACCACTTCCACATTCACCACCACACCACTGCTGCTCCCAGCTGTACTGGCCAAACAGGACAGTTCTGGTGGCAACGCAGCCGCAGCCACTTATCTCACACCAAACTTGGCTCTATGTTCTCCAGGATGGCATATGGGCATCTGAGGAACTGGTAGATCTTCTGGAAGCAGATACTTACTGAAGTGTCCGGGCAGCATTGTGTTTCAGTGCTCACTGTTTTATAACCGTTGGGCTCCTTTAACACAGCACCTGCTGAACTGTATTAGTGGACCTCAGTTCCTTGAGTAGGTGTGACATCTGGACTCTATTGGACAACTGGAGAAAACATTGCTGTCTGCAGCACAGGAGCCTCAGCCCATCAGATAGTAGAGGTACGTTATATTCCTAAAAGTATGTGAAGCCCTATTAATTGTCTAAGTAAGCCAAACCCACAGGTATATAACTAAACACACAGCCATACAATCTCCTGTAACACACAGCAGCAGAATAGGTGTTTCTACAGGAGACACCAGTGATTTTCCACTTGGCACCATCAAAGGACATCATCTTTCCAATAAGTCAGTTCGGCACATTTCTGGTCTGCTGAAGCTGCCCTGGTCAGCTACACCGAAGGTGATGGTGAAGTGGAAACATCTGAGAGTGAGTTCAGCTGTGAAGTGGCCAGGCACACAAGCTCCCAGAAAGGGAGCTGATCACCCAGCGTCAACACCCACCCTAAATGGCAGCAAATCCCACCAGCGATGTTCCAGCATCTATTGGAAGCCTCCCCAGAAGATCAAAGGCTATTACAGCAACACAGGGGGGCAACTTCATCTTAATACCCTATGTTTCAGAATGAAATGCTTTACCAGCTGGTGTCCACATAATTCTGCCCATATAGTGTACTGTACATGTGACATTACATCAAATTCCTTCTATCATGCCAACAAAATCAGCCCACCTGCTGCCCTCTTTCACCTCTCTGTTGGTTTCTGCAGTCATTGTTTGGGTCTGTAGGAAGTCTAGTCCAACATCAAAATGATGCATTTTAAAAGTATCCATTCACCGATGCTCTACTGCATTGATACAGTTCATTTTTCATTGCCTTTCATCTTGTATCTCTTAACAAATGGGTTCCCCAATACAAACATACTTTTTCAAGCTTTATTGTGTCAGTTGTATAAAATGAATAATAATAATAATAATAATAATAATAGTAATAATAATAATAAAAAGCACATGAATGACAACAACAAGCACCGTAAAAGCACACTAAACATGAAAAGAAGTGTGATAGTTATAGCATTGGGCCATGCAGGGGAGGATCTGACATGCCTTTAGCCATAGGAAGGGGAACATTTCTGTTATTTGCATTAAGGGGTAGGAAAGATTTAGGAGGAACAGCGTATTCTGATAATATGAAATCAATGGTCTGCAAAAAATACCTGAATACTCACTGAACAATTGCCATGTTATTTTTGATATCTTTAAAAAAAAAAAAAAAGCATAATGACATATGAACATATTTACAGAGCAGTATTTTACAAAATCATAAGGCTGAAAATCCCTAAGTATAAATATTTTTGTAATTTTCACTTTGAGCACCATTTTGCGTTTATGGTCTCACGATTTCTACGTTTATCATTAGCTTCTCAAATCTGTAATATAAAAGGCTATCAAAAAGAGAACTGGTTTGTTTATTTCAAATTGTTATGCTAAAAATCCATTAATAAAAACCATATTGCTTCTGGGATGCACTTGGTCTCTGCTTATTGTAATGTCAGGCCCTTTGGATGAGATCATTATGCGGACTGAACCTCATTTGATCTGACCTCAAAGTCTTACAAATTCAGTGCTGCCTTCATAAAAAAGGCACTCTAGCTTTGCAGTTCCATCTGATATTTAGCAGGCAAGAAGTTACAGATATACAGCAACACAAGTTTCAGGAACACAATGGAAAGAAAGTGCTTAGCGATGCAATGGTTGTGACGGCAGAAGGGTAGGCCCAGGTGGGAGCATCCCAGGTTTGAGCTATTGCTCCACAAAGGTAATGTTGTAGGTGAGCTGGTGTCCGTTATCCCAGGCATACAGCACCCTCTCCTTTGGGTTGTAGTCAATCTGTGTGGCGAAGGAGTACTTGTTGATGAACGGCAGGCGTGGAGAAGCCTCCGTGCTGGTGTGCGTGTCATAGGCGTAGGTGACCTCGGCATCATGCTGGCTGTAGGCGTTGACGGCGTACAGCACGCCACAGGCAATGAAGCAGTTACCGTAGGACCTGCGCTTCAGTCCCGTGCGCCATGTGGTCTCCCGGTGCAGAGAGAGGTCGGCAGGGTCCAACCTGCTAATCACCACCACCTCCTGCTGCCCATAGTCATCGGCGGCAGCCGGGTAGATAACCCAGAGGCCGCTCTCGTCCACGGCGAAGTCGATGTCAGAATGGCCGCGCCATTTCCAAGCCGTGGTGTCCTCATAGGTGGCGTCATGCAGCAGTGACCAGGCAGCCACGAAGCGCATCTGTAGGTCATACTTAATGATGTTCTTTGTGAAGGCCCTGTTGTAGTAGAAGGCTCCATTGTAGACCACGTGGCCCGTCCCGATCCAGTTGTACGGCAGCTTATACAGGTTAGTCCATCGTCCTAAGAAAGGGGCAGGCGGGTGGGAAATGAAAAAATGTTTTTCATTTCATTTTAATTTAATATGTCATTCAGAGGAATATGAAATAATTGAAATTTTGAAATGACAAATCAGCCCAAAATGTGACTCCCCATTAGGAATCTGGACAAGCCAAGTGCTGAAACACCCCAAGGCGATCCTGAGCCATTATTTTTGGCTTCACACAAACAAACGAGATGCAGTGAAATTAAGCCCATTAATCTTTCTCTTCAAATGCCTATTAATTCATGGCTTTGCTTCAGAGGAAAATTAACAAAATGTAAACAAACATAATCTAAAACGGTCCATGATCAAAGAAGATCAACTGACTCTGTGATTAAACTGATATCTTTCAAACAAAGTAGGGCAGAGTCTTTATGGGTTGTTAGTGTCATGTCCAGGCTTTTGCCAGAAGTGTGTCCAGCTTTATGAAACAACTTTAATGAACCATCTATTGTGATGTTTCATAAAAATGTGCCGTCACAAACACTGCATTTCTTAAGTATTTATCATGAACAAAGTATGTATCCAAGGTAACATATTAGAGTCAGTCTGCCAATAAGCATGGTAAAACAAAGGCAAGCAAACAGGAAATCAGATACAAGTAAATGGATAAGTAACAAGTAAGTAAAAACTGGGTCACCTTGCTTGAAACTGTCAAGGTTTCGGAACTCCACCAGGTTGTTGCCATAGTAATAGTTTGTTACATAGATCTTGGAGTCTTTAGCAACCGGGTCCCTCATCCAAGCTCCCTCATTTCGTCCGTAGCTGTGGTGTTCCATTGGTGCCTCTATGGCAGCGATGGTCCCCTCGCATTCTGGGCCTTTCTCTGGCAGGAGGGAAGAGTACAAAGGCCGGTTTCCAGAAAAGAAAAGATTCAGGGAGAGGTGGTGTATGCAATTCTGTATCACATGAATCAAATTAGTAAAATTGATTTTTTTTAGGGTTGGGAAGCTGATGTTAGTACCTGCTTGGTTTGTGAAAGACTGGCTGCTGTTTCCAGAGTTTTCCACTGCCAACACTAGGGCTAAGCCTTGCTTCTCTGTCCCGGCTGTACTGGTACTGGTGGTGGGCACTACCGACACCATGGTGGCAGGGGTTGTGGTTGTGGACATGACTGTTGGGACCATTTCGGCTTCCAGGATACCATTGCCAGGTGTGTCCACCCCGGCTTCTGGGATGCCATTGCCGGGTATGTTCGCTGGCACCTCCTCCTTGATAGCGGCAGCATCCTGACCTCTGCTGGCGTCTACTGTGTGAGGTGAGGAGATATGGGGAAGAGTTAGGGCACAAGTAGCATGAGCCCCAGGTCAGGCCTGAAGGAAAGGACTGCTTCCTAAGTCACTGTCCTGGAGTCCCAGAGTCCATCCGGCTGGAGCAAAATATGAGAGACACCGGCACTGAGCATGCAAATGGCCGTCGTATAGACACATGTGCATGTACAGTTGTTAAGGTTACCATGTAGCAGGTCAAAGTGCATGTCTGTTTAAAGCAATATGTAAACAGGGCCAAATATGGTGCAGGAATTTCCAGGAACTGCTTTTATACCCTAGGGTGGTGCATTGTAACCAATCCGACATCATTATTACATGCATACATGTAGATGTGCAAGATGCCTTTGTTAAAATAAAAGCATATGTTTGCCAAATAACAGAGTGTAAAAATGTGATGTCACTGAAGTGGCCAATCGGACTGTGTGGATTGCCATGATGAGAACATACAGTCCACATGGTGTAAGTACCCAATTTAGCTGTAATGCCCTGATGTGTCAAAGACAGCATGCTACACACTGCAGAGACTAATTTTTCACAGATGGGAAGATCAACTGAAAGAGTTCCTCAAACGTAATCACCCTAATGTCTTGCTAATTATCTTACATTAAAAACAGCTGTTTCATCCTACAACGATTTATTCCTGTGATATGTCGAGCTGCTCATATAAAAACAAGGAAAACATTTCACAGAGATTTAAGAAATCTTTACCTTCCCGGTAAGATTGGAAGCACTAATATATTTACATGCCTCAGACATATTTCTTGGAGGTGCACCTAGTTTTGAATGATGTTGGCTGGGAAGGTCCACACCTGGGGCTTAGCATAAACAGAACATGGTGAGCAGAATTCTTCATTGGCATATGATAGCTGCTGATCACCACTACAGCAATCCACCCGTATTCTGTGTTTATCAAGAAACAAGCAGGTGTGAACTTGTACGCGAGCAGCTCCTACATTCTGTGCAAGATCCTATCGACTGTTTCTTGGCTGTGGAGTTTGGGGTCACCACCTTCATTTCTGCTCCCCTACCTTCGCCCCCTCCGCTCTAATGTCAACTCAGTGGTCAGAAAGCCCACGTTCTGCTTCCCCTGACGCCCCTTTAAGCTGTCAATCAGGCCCCCCCCATTCTCGCCTCTGAAGTCCTCCTCAACAAAGGCTCTTCACCCCCTCCTGTTAGCACACACCCTCCATCTCAGCACGGGGCTTTATGTGACCCTAAATACTACCCCCCCCCCCCATGAGAGTGGGACGGGGGGTGGTTCCAAATCACCACTCAAAAACAAGAGCTCATCATACTCAATCTCAGGAAGGCCAAGACGTGAGGTCAGTCAGGAGCTGGAGCCTTCACCCGATGCTGGTGTCACACGTCTGCTGGAAGTGCTTATTTAGGGGTGAAGGGTTGCTGGATTGGAGTACATACATTAGTTTCTCTAGTGTCCACTCTCTCCAACTTGCACTATTACTCTGTCCTTCTACACACCACTGCTGCATCCCACCCACAAGTGAAGAGAACAATGAAAGTAAGCTGAAATGGTCATAGTCCTGTCAGTTTCTGAAACATTTTTAAATCTGCAGCTAATTTAAAACAGGAATTTAAAGATGTAAAAATGAAACAACAGCACTAAAGCTTCAGCTCCCAGTCAGGAATGGATCAGGAAGTTCTGGGTCATGTACAGTACGTTCCAGAATTCTTTACTTTTTACATATCCCATCTTGTGCTCCTTTTGAGACACACAGAGATACACACATACACACGCACACACACATGCACACACACACATACATACAGGTGAGAGTGAAGCTTGGGGTCTGAGCGCAGGGTCAATATTTACCTGGCAACCCTGGAGCATTCCTGGGGGGGCTAAGGGCCAACAGAAATGTGACTATTTTGTTGAGGACAAATGCACCCCCCCACCACCATCCCCTTCATGTCACCTTGGCTGCTGAGATTGCTCTCTGCGTCCTCGGCCTTGTAGTAGGTGACGCCCCTGATCACTCCTGGCTGATGGCCGACGCCCTTGCCCTTCACGCTGGGATCCGCCGCCTTTGCGCTCTTCGTGGGCCTCGCACTCTCCTTCTTGGTTTTCGTGGGCTTCTCCTTGGGAGCCACTTTCCATCCCTGTGTCTTTTTCCCAGGGTACCTGGAAGTGTCCTTGGCTTTTTCTCCAGAGCTTTCCTGTCACCAAGGAGAACACCAAGGACTTCAGGGTGCTTTTCCACTGCACCAGGTACCATACTTTTGGTTTGGTACTTTCAGTACATTCGCTTTTCTATTGACTTTTGGTCAAGTACCAGTACCAAAAGCTCCAGTACCTAAAGCAAGAAGAAGATAGGAAGTATCGCTGTTTGGCGTCACGTCCTGTTTGGTATTTTACGGATGGTGGTGCGACTCACGACCGAGTTGTTAACGACATGTCTAAAAGAAAAGTGACATTCGAGGACGGCGATGGAGAATTCAGCCTGGAAGAGGATCTCCAGAAGAAGAAGATATGTGAGGCTGTGAGTGGTCCAGGCTCAAGGTTCAAGGGTAAACATTCCTTGGACAGTGATGAGGAGGATGAAGAAGAAACAAGGGAGGATGGGAGCAAATATGAGACACCTGGCAGATGAAATTTAACATAGACAAATGTAAGGTACTCCATGTAGGGAGCAGAAATATAAAGTACAGGTATTTT